AAGGGGTTGAGCTAAGTGCCCTGTTACCATTAATGTTCTATGAGTGTGGTTTTGTTCGGAGGGAGCTGGGGTAGCAGACATAGCTTTCAGCTGGGCCTTGAGAAACCTGCCTCAGTGTCTTCCCTCCGCCAGCTTGTGAGCTCTAAGCTGAGGCCCAGCAGGTGACTCAGGCAACATCTCAACTCCCCAAATTGCTTTGCTGCTGAAGACCAAGCGACTCCACCCCAGCTCCTTGCTCCAAGGCAGCCAAATGGACTGAGTAGTTAGCAAGTTGTGTTTGCTCTCTCCTGCTGATTGGAACCTGCAGTGAAAGGTTTTCAACCACAGCAGAATGGTCCACACTTCTGTCCAAGTTAGAGATTTTTGTTTTTGCTTGAAAGTTCTCAAAACTACCCTGCAGACCTGGAGCCATCAGTCCTTGTCCTTCCCCTCTTCTTCGCCCTAGTTAATATGTCTGGGACCCTGCACTGTTTCAAGCCAGGCAGGGCCAGCTGGTTCCTGAGGGCAAAGCCCAAGTCTTTACAGTGAACCGATGCTGTCTTGGGGTGCACCACCTCCGGCTCAGCGGAGGTGGGCAGACCCCTGAACTACGGCTGCGTGTTGGGAGCGCCGTGCTGCCTGGCGGGGCTCCCAGCCGCTGGATGATCTGAACAATGCCTGCAGTTCCTTACTGTGGCCTGGGTTTTGTCCTTAGATGTTAAAATTGATGCGATTGAAATAAGGCGTTTTTCTGAGGAGACATGTTACACGTGGGTAAGTACCCTTGTTCAGTAAGACTAAAGGCAACCAGCACTGTGTGTACTTCCAGTTATTCCTTTTTTTAAAAAAAAATTATAACAGTGGCCCTTCATAGTCCAGCCCCATGTTCCCTTCCTCAGAAGCACTTCTGAGTACACGTTGGCCTGGCCGAGCGCATGATGTTGTGCCCCGTTCCGGGGGGAACGACGGGACAGCGCAGGGCTTCACCTGCCTCGGGGCTGTTGTCGCCACGTCAGTGAGAACGTTGATGAAAACCCAAGTCAGTTACACTGCACCAAGGGGCTGGGCGTTCAGTAAGGCTGGGCTGGTGCAGGTGACGGTAAGCATTTTCACATTGTCTTAGAAAAGTGTCCCCACCACCCCAACAGCAAGGCAGCACATGGGGTGAATAAGGCTTTCCTCTTGCCAGATATTTTTGCTGCTTTAACCCCAGGGCCTTGTTGAGCCAGCACACGGGAGCTTTTGTGAGGTTGCTGAGGATGTTGGCGTGGCGCGGGTGTCAGGCGAGAAGGCGGGGAGAGCTCGGGCACGTGCTGCCCCAGGTGGCACAGCCGGGCAGGCCCACAGGGATGCGGGGCTGAGCCCTTCGCCCTGGTCCAGTCTGTGCGGGAACTGCTGAGAGAACAAGCTCAGCCAGCGTGTCAAGTGTTTTTACCTGCGTAGCTGAAGAGATGGGCTTGCCCTTTTCTGGTTATGAGATGGGGGCTCTGCAGTCACAGGCCTCTCGTGGACCCTGAGACCCCACTGGACAATGTATTAGTGACAACAGAGAGAATTTCTCTCCTTCCACCAATTGTCCCTTGTTTTTTATTAAACAAACATCAGTGACATCACCATGCAAGAACCACCAAACCACTCGACCTTGAAGATCGCACAAGATGGAGCCTCAATCCACCGTGAGGGGTGAGAGGAGCGGGTGTCTGGATTCCCAGCTCGCTGCAGCATGCGTCTTCACTGGCTGTCAAGCCCGGGAGAAGAATCTGTTCAGTTCTGCCCTCGTGGTTCACTCTTCCGCAAACAGACTCTTTTAACAAGGGCGCCTCGCTGTGACCTGGGGTGCTGCACTGTGAGCGCACTGGAAGGCCATGCTTGCCAATGTGAAATAAGGAGAGCATTTTTCGATTAATGGCATGTGAGCATTTAGGAAAGCAACTGGCTACACCCCTGTGATTGCCAGATGCTCTTCCTCTCTGGCATCAGGCAGCATACCGTTATCTTCCTGCCTTTGCTGCAGGTCCTTTGTGTGACATTTCCCTCTCAGGAAGTCATAAATATTGGCTGGCTGTCTCTTGGTTTGGGGAGGCCCCTCTGCGGGGAGCCTGCCCATACACAGACGGGCAGTGCATGGAGGGGAGGGAGGAGCCGGGTGGGTGGAGCAAACAGCTTGTCCAACCTGGAGGCTTGGTGAGAGTTGGGTCTCTTTCCTGGCCTGTGGTTCTCAGGAAAGTGGTGTTACCACTTAAGATGGACAATGGGATGACTGGATGGAAGCAAAGTGTGAGTCTGGATTACAGTTTCTCTGGGAACTTAAGAACAATGCTTTAGCGTCAAACAGACCTGAGTTCGGAAGCCACAGGCATTGTCAAGATGACATTAAATTGTGTGTGAAAGCGGCGTAGCACAGTACCAGGCATGTAGTAAGCGTTTATTACATGTGAGCGGCGAGTGGTGGTAATGGCAGGAATCAAGTGCCCAGAGAGCTGGAGTTAGAGATCAGGATGCCACGCGTCAGGTACCGCAAGGGACAACCATTGTTCATACTGTTTGGGATGTTCTGCACGCATGAGTGCCCTGACTCCTCATTAGAGTTCTAATGAGGACTCTAGGGTCACATAAGTGGGGCCCCTCTCGAGCTCTGTATAGGGAGGTGTAGGTGCTCAGTCCCCGAAGCCCCCTGTTAGCCCTGGTTGTCCCTGAGGGGATCACTACAGCACAGAGACACCACGGGGCCCCTCACAGGCCTCCAGAGCCACACACAGTACGAAGGCCTGCCCCGGATCCCTGACCCTCGAGCAGGAGGCTGTGGCCGGGGCGGGGGCACACTGACACTGAGGGAGGCCCACTGGAGACTGGGATTTGGTTGGTAGGACGTGGGGGCCATGGCAGACATTATGCAGGAGTGTGGGGTGAGCGAGTCTGTGTTGGGATAGAGGACTCTGGCAGTAGGATTGGACAGGTGAAAGCCACAGGCGAGAAGACCATGACTGGTCATCCAGGCAGGAGAGGAGGCCCTTAATGGAAGAGCACGGAGGAGCTTTGAGAGCTAATTGGCAGGTGTTCATGATTAGCTGGAACTGGGGAGGAGGAGGCGACTTCTCGGTGTTACCATTCCCTGAAGGAGGGAGTGAGGAGGAACAGGACAGGGCAGGGGGCAGGGGCGGGGGCGGGGGACACGGAAACAGCGGTCTAGCACATACTGAGTTTGGGGTGCCTGCAAGACAGACATACTCACGAAGCATAAGGACTGACTGACTCGGGCCCAACCCTTAAGACCCTGTTTCAGACACAGTGCTGAGCGCCTTACACATTCTGTCTTGTGCTAACGGCCCTGTAAAGTAAGTACCATTATTCCCATGGTACAGATGAGGAAGTTGAGGCACAACGAGATAATGTAAGTGGACCAAAGTTGCCACGTCTAGTAAGGGATGGAGCCACAATTTGACCCCAGGGCGTGTGGGCTCGGCACCACCGCTCTTCAGGTAACGTGTATGCTGCACCGCTGCTCTGTGGCGTTTGGACACCTGGGCCAGGAGCTCAGGGTGGATCTGACCTACAGCTGTAGCTACGGAGCCCTCTGAGTCCAGGATTGCTCTAGGGCCTGTGGAGAGCCAGCCGGTGTCTTGGCATTGAACTGTTCATAGGCTTAATAAGCAGGTACAAATACCACATCACAGAGGTGCCCTCAAACTTGCAGTGCGGTAGAAGACAACAGGCTGTGTCTTAAGCACTACCGCTCGAGGCCCACAAGCCCCTCTAGGGTGCTTTGCCAGGAGGAAGGGAGAGGCAGAGAGGAGTCAAGTAATGCAGTTGACAGCAGCTTTGGGACGAGGCCCGCGAAGTCATGCAGGAAAGGATGGGTAGGGCTGGCAGGCATGTGTGCCAGACTTGCAGGTGGTTTGGAGAGAAATGCAAACTGTCCTTCAGGAGACTGTCTTGGCAGGACTTACCTCAAGCTTATTCTTCCCTAAGGACCAACTTGAGTGTTTTAAAAATCCAGATAAACTCTTAGCAAGTTGATGCCCTCAAGGACAATAGAGGACATCTAATTCAATGCCCTCACTTTCCAGATAAGGACATAGAGGCCCTGAGAAATTAAGTGACTTGGCCAAAATTGTCCAGTTAAGTGTGACAGGGACACTGCTTCTGTGTCCTAGGATGGTGTAAACAGGTCCAAGGATGGACACACCAAGCCCCTCTATCTGAGAATGGAATTGTGACGTTCCTTTACTTCCAGAAGGGCTCCCTCTAGGGTAGAGGCTGGTTTCCTTCCCTCTGGCAAGGCAGAGCCTGTTCGGGGTTCTACCAAAGCTTCTCTTTCTAGCCCTTGTGCTCTCCTGGATAACTGTAGTCGAGTTCTGATGATTAGATTTACTGAGAGCTCCACTGGTTAGGAGAAGAGAGAATGAGGGAGAAGCTCAGCCTGGAACTGAAACCTTCCAGCAAACCACTCGCCCTCTCTGCTGTGGCCACTCCTGTCCTGGCATCTCTCCACCTGTACAGCTGAGTGCTGTGCATACACTCCGGTGCAATGCCGTGGGACGCTGACTTCCAGCGGGGCTTTGCCGATGCTCTCAGTAAAGACATTAGCAGTGCGTGGGGTCACTCCGCTTTCCCAGGCTGGAGATTTCCAGGCAATGGAAAAGCGGCTCCTGTTGCATTGTTCTCTTAAGCCCTTGCTCTTCAGAAGTGTGATTCCAGGGCCAGTGGATCAGCATGCACTGGGAGTGAGTTAGAAATGTGGACTCTCAGGTCCCCCCGCACCGCCCCTGACCTATTGAGTTGGCACCTGCACTTTGACAAGGCTCCCTGGCGATTCCCAGCACCAGTGCTGGAGAGGAGTGCTATGTGAGGTTGCTTTTTCCCAGAGCCACACTCATATCACTGGACCAAGGACATGTCATCCAGCAATTTCCCCCACCTCAAGTGCAGCCAGAAAGCATTACAGCCCTGCTTGCTTCTCCCAAACCTTCAAAAAGATGTTAGGACCAGAAGGTTAAATGGTAAAGCTTTTTGTTTTACAGGACAAATACCCAGTCTTCTCAAGAATGGAGCCAGACATCAGTACCGAAAGAGTAAAGTGGTCTGAGGCTTGTGCTTCTGGGCAGCGACACCTCGAAGCTCCCCTGGCCCCCGCAAGGCCCTGCTGCGATTCAAGGGTGTCTGGTATCTGACGCTGCCCGGAGGGCTCTGAGTGAGTTACCAAGTCACGTTCACCACTCCCACATTATTAAAGGGCAGCTAGTTGGGCAGTGCACTTTAGACATTCCGAAAACAAATGTATGGAAGAAGGAAGTCCTGGCACACAAATGTCACGTAGAAAGTTAACCGATGGCAACAGTCCTTCCCTCCCCAGCAGTACCAGATACGTGAGATCGTCCCGTATCTCCACGACTCATACAATGTTGCGGATGCGGTGACCTGCCCCTGCCCTCAACCCCCTTCCCCAGCCAAACCGAGGGATTTGGGTGATTGACAGAACACACAGGAGGCAAGAAAATGATTTTTTAAGGTTTTTCTGATTTGTTTTTAAAGAAACTGCATACATCATCAGAGACAAACAATAATTTAAATACCATGCAGTTTCTGTATGTACAAAACCTAGCCATAGAGATCCAGTTTAATTTGTATTCTATTTACATTGTCTTCTGCACACAGCCGTCGTCTGTTGAATTAGAACACGAGAGAGCGCTCCTATACAAAGAATAACTATGTACAGACACCCGGGAAGCAACTGGAAAAAGCAACCGGTGTGGGGGTTAACAGACAAGTGGGAGGAAGAACTCATTTACGTGACCTTGGCACACTGGCTGTGCACAGGGAGGGCGGGGAGGCTGTTCACCGAAGCTCACTCCACGCTGTCATTCAGCAAATATAAAGACACGTTCGTAAGCGGGAGAAAAATAAACTTGGGGGTTTTCACCACATCTACTGTCACACTGTTTGGTTTCTCTAATTTGATATAAAGGCTAAAGTTTTAAGTTTTCCAGGGCTCTGGGGGTCGTGGGAAGGAACAGCGCAATTTCGAGAGAACACAGAGGCCGACCGATGGCACTGGTCTGTCACGGATGCGATAGGGGCTGGGCACTGTCTCATTTTCAAAGGAAATATTTTGATCTGTGAAATACATTTTTCTTTCCATGCTAATCCAATGACAAGAGGCTCAATTGGAAATTTATACACAGAAAATAAAACTTTACTTGAAAACAGATTTTTCAGAAAAGGAACGCATTGTAAACCAGGTAGGCCACCCCCTCCAATAATTAATGTCAATTTGTCATCTTGGAAAGTAACATACATTTTTCAATTGTCAATAATGTGGCAAAAAAGAAATTTGGATAGATTTCTATAAAGACCTCAAGATTTCAGGAAAGGAAAGAGACAGCTGAGGGGCCAGCTAGGGTCCACTGCAGCTGCTGAGCCACATACAACGGTCTGAAATCGCTCACCTCTGTGGTGGGTGTGCTCAGTGGCCTGGAGGGTGCACCCCGAACCCTGCAAGTGACTTCTGGAAAACGGCACTCTGCAGGAAGACGAGTGGAGCATGTGCTCAACTTCTTCCATGAACAAAGGGGACTGCAAGAGTAGGGCACTTTGGGCGGAAAACCTGGACTACTGGCTGGCTGGCTGGTTCCACAGAAATTGATTTGGGCCTTAAGTCCCCTGGAATCTAAAAGGCCCAAGAACCCAGGCCAGCAGAGAAGCCACTGGCCTTGGTGGGAGGAGCCCAGGTCATGGAACGAGTTCCCTTTGGACTGGCTCCTGGGCCAGGGGAAGGCCTGACCATGCTGCCAGGGCACTGCGAGCCGCCGGAAGCACAGCTGCCAGTAAGAGGAAGCTCAGACTCAGCTCCCAGCAAGGCAGGCACCTCCGCCTAGAATAGGTGCCTGTCATAGAGAAGTCAAATGAAAGAGCCCCACATCTTTCGTCATATCATTTGCACATTCAGACGTCAGCAAGCCTTTTGGGAAAACAGTGCTTACAGCCACACTAAAGTCCTGACCATACACATTTTCCCTGAAGGTACTTCTACCCATGTCAGTAACTATTCAGATTCAGCATTCAAAGAAAAAAGGGTCTAGTGATGGCATCCTCCTGGGACTGGGCGGCTACGTGCTCCCTCCAGGTGCTGCAAGCAAAGCATACGCAGCTTTGCCGTGGCTGGTGGGCAGTGCCTGGAGAACTGCCCGGAGCCCCCTGCAAATACACGCAGCTCCCGGTAAATGCTCGCCACGAGAGCTGGGAATGCCTGCAGGAAGTGAATGGCCTCACTGATGGCGTGCATCCCGAGTGACCTGCATCCCACACAGTTTGGGGTGGGGACTGGTTAACTCTTTGTTGTGAAGGCCAAGCTGGCATCTTTCTAAATCCTGGGCATGTGTGGGGGAGAGCGACCCATTCCCTGGAAGGATCACGGTGACTATGAGACCACTGCAGGTGGCCAGGCAGAGCCTGGCGATGGAGGCCCTGCGAGCGCCCAGGACGGGAAACAAAACTGCTGCAACGGGCCCCGGGAAGACGGCCGTCAGGGTGTGGGACTTGTTCTTTCTCTCACTGCACGTGCCGCCCTCAGTTAACAGGGCATGCTTTCCTGTGGTCCCAAGTGAGGAGAACAGTTAGGGATACGTCTCCAGTCACCCTCACCAGCCTCATGAGGGCAAGGAAGGGTTCTCTGTGGATAAATATGAGCGGGGAGGCACAGCACAAGGCGTGCGTGGCTGGTGTTGGCATGATTCTGGCGTGTCACACCCTGGGGCTTTCCCATAGAGACTCTTCAGTGCAAAGACAGGAGATGAGAAGGCCATCGAGTGGTTCTAGGGTATCGGTGAGCCCATTAGTGACCGGGACACCTGCTCTCAGGCATGGTTTCTGGCCTTCAGGCGCTGGTCCTGCACTCAGAAGCCATTAACTTCCCAGCCACACAGTCACCATCCCTGGGGCACACCGAGAAAACAACACTCATCGGCCAAGCAGAGTTTCTCCTGGCAGCCGTTAGCCTTCATGCCCTCGATATGGTCCTTCTGCTCACACGCATGATACCATAGGCACACCTTAGTGATGGCTGTTTGTGTGCATGAAGATCACCCGTGACATTGGGCTTTGAATAAAATGGGTCAATTCACTTGAACTGAGCAGATAGCAACTCCCCTTCCAAACCAGAGCTCCCTGGAAGGCGGCTCACCTCTGTCTGAGGGGACAGAATGGGCATTCGCGCCAGCCTCCCACACCCGGAACACAAGCACTCATAGGGCAGACCATCAGCCACAGACTCCCCGGGAAAAGGGCTCTGCCCTTTCACTCGCCGTGGGGAGGGTGGCCGGAGGGAGAAAGGTCAGTGCAGCCGAGCCAGTGCTCCCTTCCCGCATCCTGCCCCTAAGCGGACCCCGCACCAGGAGCCATGCTGCAGCCAGTGTGTCTGGCAGGTCTAGAAGGCCCACCAGATCATTTGCTTTGTGAAGTCCTTCCCAGGCCACACCCACTGCCTTGGCTTTCTTTGGACTTAGGTGACAGATTCCTTTGAGGAAGGGTTCCCTGGAGCCCAAGTGAATGCAGAGCCTGCCGTGCCTGGCTGGAGAGGACCGGGGCTGCTCCAAGGGCCGGAGAGTCTTCGGTGAGGCCCCGCCGGTGCTGGCAGCCCTGCCGGCAACGGGTACAGCCTGGGGTCAGCGGTGGTGCCAGCGGCTCTGACCGCGGAGCCGTAACCATCGTGCTTTTGCAAACAGAGTCCTGATTGTGTTTCCTTTTATTTTTCTTGTTCTTCTTTTTAAAAAAGGCAGTTCAGAAGATTTACATCATGATGGGGAAGTGAATAAATACCAGCACTTATGGTTCTTATAAATTTATGTTTTGAAGACAGCATAGCACTCAAGAGGAATTCGACTGTTAAGGTCGGTGAAACCTAGGAAAACAAATACTTAAATAACGACCAAGCATCTGTCAAAGGTTCTCGGTTCCCGTTTGAGCTTTCCACCCTCAGAGTCCTTGTTTATGACAGTGAGGGAATTTTACATCTCCCTCCACCACAGGTCCACGCCCACAGAGCTTCTCAGGCTCCCAAGGCCCAGTGAGCTCACCTTCGGGTCTGGAATAGTTTCATCTGAACACCTGGGGACTAAACTGGTGGCCCTGGCGTCCTCAGCCTGGACTCGGTAGCGAGGTGCAGAATTCAACCCCTTGTCTCAAGTCCAGGCACCATTTCTCCAAAGATTCCCCAAAGGAGAGTGTCAGAAGGACTGTCAATGGCTCTGCCACTGACTAGCCAAGTGACCTTATATAAGCCCTGCCAACCGCCGATGTTTAGTGACACAGGGCCACCTAGGAGGACGATGTGGAACCCCAGGAGCAAGCAAGGTTTGGCCTCTGCTGACTGGCTGCAAGGTGCCACTGATGTTTTCTCCTCAGCTTACGTTATCGTAGAGACACCTAGGCTTTCCAATGGGAGCTTTTAGGCTGGGCCTCAAATGCCCCGTCCCCTACGTTCAGTAACCACGGTGGGGACCTAATGCTGACCTTTCTGCATCTCCCCTTCCCTGCACCCACCACACCGCCTGTGATCCAGAAGCAGACAGGTAGTTTGGAAGTAAATGTTACAGTTTGAAGGGAAAACCTGCAATTGATACTAACCTTGTTAGATGTCTACTCAATTCATGAACTTCCATTTCAGTGCTTTTAAACTCATTGAGCTCCTTTCGAATGGCAGCCTGGAATAAGAGAGGCCGTGAGTTTGCAGAGGAGGCAGATGGGAAGGAGTTCACTTTTAATTTCATTTCTAACAATATTTTTTATCTTTGACAAAGCCATACAAAATCGATTCTTTGATCGGGAGAAAATAATCACCTGAAACATCCTTTAGAACCTACTGACACCCCCTATACCCTTAAATTTATGTTGCAAATTGATTCTGTCTGGAATTCTGTCTGGCGTGCAGAGTGCGTGCACACCTGCCCGCACTCCTGGGCTCCCGGCTACACAGTTCAACGTCAGCCTCCCATCTTCCTTAGGCTGATGACCGTCTTGACTCATCACAGCCACAGCAATGCTTCCCCATGGAGAGTTTTGGAAGGGGCGGAATGACCTTCCACCTTACTCCCTGGTTCCCTTTGATTTATAAGGCCTCCGCTCTTTCACAACTTTCCTGGTGCTGAGATGATATTTTTCTCATCATGGGTGTATGGGACGATTTGAATAACCGTAGTATATTCTGAGATAAACCCGAACAACCTCGGCCTTCCAGCACTGCCCACCAAACCAGCTGGGCAACCGACAGGGCAGAGACAGGTGAGGAGGGGCTGGAGGAAACCTCGCCTTCTTCCTCAGGGGCGGAGACACGGGCCCTTTCCCAGAGCGCTTTCTGAGGCTGATGTTTACTTTGATGGGAACATCGGAGCAGTGAGCGTTTGGGGGTGGAAAGGTCTTTAGGTAGCATCAGGTGGGCCCCCCTCAGTGAAGGAAGGCGCACCAGTGTTTAAGTGCCAGGTTATGAGCTTCCAGAAGGCAGCAGGTCTCATCCTTCCCTCCCCAGCAGCCTGAATTGCCCACCTAATATTGCCTCAGAACTTGGGCGTGTATGTGTAGAGTTGCCTTGCACTTTCCCTTGGCGTCTTCGACACCCTGTCCTTGGTAGCAGGCACCCTGCAGCACAAGTGTGAGCAAAAGAATGAGGGCCGGGGCCCCCTGCTGCTGGCACAACAGACACAGCTGCCTGGGGTCGCCCACCAGGAGTTCCTGCACAGGGAGGGGATGTGTTTAA